GCTTTGGCTTTGAAGATATTAATGAAAGTGTAAAGGTCAAAAGGTCAACTAGCCCCCCCACTTTTATGAAATCAAACAAAATCGGTGTCAAACATTAGTGCTATGTTTGTGCTGGTTTGTGCAGCAAAAATTTTCGTTTGTGCTGCTATCATTTTAAAGATATAAAAGTTGGATTTCATAAAAGTTGTGTTCACTTCCATATTAGAAATGTAGAGCGTTTGCTCCTTCACGTCACTTCTTTCGGGGGGGCTGTGGGGGGGAATAAAATGTAGATGCGACCCTGCGGTGATTTATGTTTTACTGAAAATGTTTTTTTTTGTTCATTACTTTGTAGTAAAACACTCAGTTTTTATGTAATTACTATTATTTTCCTTTGTTAGCTATACTTCAAAAAGTTCTTTTTTTACTGTTTTACTGCGTTTCAATAAAAGTTTTCCAGTTGGAGTCAAAGTAATAGCATCAGTTCATTATTATTATATATATTATACATTTATACATATAAATGTGGTAAATGTCATGACCAATGGTTAGATTATATGTACTAAGTTTCATTCAATGGTAATCAGTGATTTAATTTAAAGAAATTCCCAGTATTGATGTGAAAAACACATTTGGCACAGTTTGGAGACATTTTTGGAGAAATGACCTCTCCACCTGGGACATTTCTCAGTAAAACATTTATAAAACACTATTTTTCAACTGAGTGAGTCCAAATTTGGTGAACTTTTACCCAACATGTAGATCTAAAAGTCTAAACTACTTTTTTGTGTGAAAAATAATATTTTAGTGACGTTTTGCAATGTTTATAAGAAAATTTTTGTGAGGTAAAAAAAACGCTACATTTATTGTATTTAATTCAAGCAGGGTAAAAGTTACAATAGTACTGACACCAGGAAATCATTCTTTGATGTCTTACCTTCACAGAGGTACCAAAAGTTTGCACTTTAATCTGATAACTGTGAGGCTATTAGTGATTTATTTTTGCATGTTTACGAAGCCCTTTCCACCCTTAGGGCTTAAAGGGTTTTAATGAATCACTTTAATCCAAGAGGAGGCCAAATTTGAAAAATACATTTAATAACCAGAAGTTATCCATTTCTGGTTGCAGTCTATTGCCTGTTACTTGAAATGAAAACCAAAAATGGTTGCAAACTGTAGAGGTGTTTCTAAACACTATTGCCCTAGAAATGACTACTTTATTTATTTTTATTTATTTAATTGTTTGTTTATTTATTTCAAACATGATAGAAGTATAAAATCACACACATGAACAAGGACTTTCGTCAGAACATCAGCACACATGGCCTATCTTGGCTTTCCCAGAGTCAAAATCTTCTGGAATAAAAAAAAATCAAAAGTGCAAGTTATTAACAGGAAAATGATGAGGAATAAGTTCTGCAAACTTCTCAAAGGGTCTTCCAGCAACTGGAACCATTATGATGAACCAAAGAATACCAAAGCCACACCAATTACTAGAAGATGGGCCACTGTGAACAGAAGGGAGCATCTTAGCTGACTGTCACAAAGTTGTCTGACGATAATCCTGTGGTGGTGGCCTCCACCATTTATGGGAAAGATCTAAACAATATTTGCAGTCAAATAAAAAAAAAAACTTGTGTCCGGTAAGACAACCAGAAGTGATGGTGGGTGGCGTAGACCTTTATGACCAAATGTTGAGCTTTCATCAAATGTCAACCAGAACCAAGAAATGGACATTCCCATCACAGATGCCTGGCCCTAGACAAACATACAAATTAATCCTGGCCCCCCTAGCACAGTGACTTTCTTGCTCTCTCTGGCTCTAATGGTGCGTTTACACCAAACGTGTTTTGAACGTCAGGCCCATCTGGTCTACATTCAGTCTATGTAGAGGCGCGTTGAGGGCCCTGGAGGAGCGTTCCAAGCGTCTAGCACAGTGCGATTTGAACCGTTCGGACCGTTTTTATGACGTTCCACATGGACTGTGAATGTAAACAGACACACCTGATGCTCAAAAAAGCTTTTGGTAGGAATGCACCAAAAGTGCACACGTGTCAAACTTGAAGCGTCAAATGCGCTTTTGACATGCGTGATGTGTTTGGTGTGAACACACCATGAGTCTGTTTCTTCATCAGATTGTCCTGGATCTGATGAAGTTCCCTACCAGAGGCTGATACTTATCTTAACCTCATCTTCATCTGACAACTCCAGATCTGAATCTCCCTCTACTATCTTGTGTTTCACTTCTTTCCCCTACAACAATGTGTAGTCATTAAATACACTGAAATAGTTCTGATGTCCATTGCAATTGACGTTCGTAAAAGGTCTGTTATTTCTAAACAGAAATTATTCAATTGTTTTCACTGGTCAAAATATTATTAGTATTTAATTAACAAGAATACCAATAATTATAACAAAAACAACAAAAGAAGTGAAATATTTGACTCGTCTACCCTCTTTCTATAAAATGTGGTTTCTGGCAGGTCGGCCATTTTGATTTAGGGAAAAAAGGGACTTCCCGGTATGCAAACCTATCACATGACACATCCGTGGAAAGCCCAGGATGTCCTCTAAAGGGTACTGTAGGGCTAGAATGGGTAATTCAAAGTATGAACAAAAAATAAGCTTCAACTGTCATAATGAGAGGTACCAGGACTCGAAGGCAAGCAACAACTACGGACACCAAACTCAGTTTACAGATTTATTGAACAAGAAGGTGTAATGGGAAAACGGTGGAGAGGTGTAGGTCAGCGGCAGCAGGGAGGAACTGGGCCAGAGGAGGAACTGAGAAATGGGTGAGCAGTTAGACAGAGGAATAATGACAGGAATGATGATGTAACCTGATGAGGGCTTACGGATTGGGGGTTCAGGTGAGCAGAGGAGGGTACAGCAGTTGGGGCAGCGAGGGGTCTCCAGGTGAGGGGGGGGGGGTTCTAGCAGGTAACTGAGGGTGGACAGGCAGCAGCAGGGTGGTGGTGGTGGAGGAATCCAGGGGCTCGGCCAAGCTGAACAGCGAGGGCCAGGTAGTCCAGGTGGATCTGATTCTCAGAGAGAGGTCAGGGCTGGTTCTAGGAGGAAGAAAGATGGAAGAGGCGTCAGGAACAAGTTAGACACTTGAGACAGCACTGAGAGCTAGAGTGTACCACTGTAGAAGCGGAACCATCTGGCATCTTCTTCTGGGAAGCCGCTCCTATTTAAGGCCATTGTTGATTGGAGATGACGAGCACCAGCTGGATCCCATCAGCCTGCCACCCTGAAAATGTAGAGTAAAACACTCCCCTGCAGAACCCAACATCAACAAAATGTCCACTATAATGGACATAAGTGTATGGGCCGGGCTTCAGTAGGATATAATATTAGAATAAAATTTCAAGCTGAAATCTGAAACTTCATTCTGATGATGAACTGTAATCATTGTGTGAGATCCGGTGTCTTAATCTGTCTTTATTATGTCTGACTTCATGTAGAAAACAATGACCATAAGTTTATTCTTTGCACATAACCATCAGTAACACAGCAGACTAATTAGTCTACTTTTGTAAACAAGCAGTCATGTATTATAAATCTTGTGTAAGTATCTGACCTTATTACATTTTACACACATAAAAGGCTGTTCCTGCTCATCCAGTCAGGGAAAGATTAACAAGTTTAGACTTCCACACAGTAAGCTCAAAGGTCAAGTGGTCCGAGGTCTGCAGTCTGTTGATTCAGGATGTAAATGGGTGCAGGAAGCATTTTAATGCAACGCATTAAAACATACCCCTGTAAAAATATTAATCGTATTAAAATATGTTCCCTGGAAAAAAGTATGTATTATTTGTTAAAATGGCTTTTAACTGTCAGTAACTTAAGTCACTGCTTCTCACCTCATACCTCATTTCAAAATGCCTTTCTCTGAAAAGAAACTGATTGGGAAGTCATGTGGTTTATACTATTAGTCTGACTCATTAAAATCCATCTGTTTTATTTTTTATTTAAACAGATCATGTTGTATATTTTTGTTTGAAAACTTTGTGTTAATCCCTGATTCCATGGAACAGCTTCTTTAAATAATATTGTGAGAATATCTTTGTGAACACCTGCTAACAGCATCCTAACAACACGCTGCTTCCAGACAAAGCCAGACTGCTCCACATCATTCTGCCATCAGCTACTAAACTGATGCTTTTCTTCTATGGACTTATTTTAACTGTTGGTCCTGTTTTATGATTTGAAGTGGCAAAAGAATCGGTCCTGTTTTGTAGCAGACTGCTTGATTGATGATAGCTTAATTGGTTTAGAACTTGTTTAAGTCTTGCATGATCATTTCTACCATGTAAAATTACACAAACTTTTATAAGTTATTTAGAATGTTTATCAGCCAAACATATGACTTTATTGCACTGATTTTTTAGCGAAACTTGCAATATTTTTGATAAACTGGTGAATATAGTGCCTGAACTAAGATTGAAAACTGTTTTCATTCTTATTTTAGATCAAAGCTAATAAAGAAGACATTGATGACATCAAGACTCATGGAGGAGCAATTCCCCCTGAAATCTCCAACAACCTCAACCAACTTAATACCAAGGTAACAGAAATCTAATATATTTTGGGTGAAGAAGATGATCATTACTAGAAGTCATCAGTAATACATATTAAAGATTAGATATATGGAATTTAGAAGTTCCTGACTGTTAAAAAGGTGCCACATCAAAGGAAACTTGGGTTATGTCAGGGACAACCACTACAACAGCTAGAGGATGTCTTTGTTGTTAAGGAGCCACTGCTCGTACCAATGGAAACACTAAATTACATTTGAAATGGTTCACTCTTCCACACTCTTTTTGTGACGTAAGAAGATTCATATCTGAAGCAGTGCTCACCCCAACAGAATCCTTTCAAGCTGACACCTTGAAGCTGTTGTGGCTTTGTCATAAAAGCAGACTGACAGAAACACATGGCATTTACTAACAACCTCACAGCTATATTTTCTAACAGCAAATAAATGTTTGTCTGATTTTATCTAACAGTTTCCACATGTTTATTTGAATTTAATCTACAAATTATTTTCATTGGTGTAACACTATAAAGGTATTAAGAATGTCTACCACATTTCCACAACAAAACTGACTTTCCATGGTTCTTTCAGGTGACAACACTGGGTAACCAAGTAACAGAACTTCAACAGGTGAGACTTGGAAGTGTGTGATCATGCCTCAGAACTAGAAACTATGTAGGAAGTTCTGGTTTCCTGCTTGTTTTTCTTCCAGACAGTCCAGAGAGTGTCTTGCAGCAGTAATCCTTGCCATAATGGAGGGACATGTCTGAACTTATTGAACTCCTATCATTGTCTGTGTCCAAGCAACTGGGCTGTGAGTTCTATGCTGTTTAAGAAATAAAAATACATAGTTTATGTATCAGTTTCAGCTTATGACATGCTAGAATGTGGTTGTGATGCTACCGTCTGTGTTTTATGTACTTTATGTATGTGTGTTGTGTGTTAGGGTGCTAACTGTGCCAGTGATGTAAATGAATGCCAGACATTTGCAGGAACACTACAGGGTTGTCAGAACGGGGCAAGCTGTGTCAACAGCCCTGGATCGTTTACGTAAGTCTTTTGCTCTCTAGTGCTATTAAACTATACTTCTTGGTACAATAATGTGCAAAATGTTTTATAGTTTAAAATACTGTTGGCATATACCTTCATGGTAACATTTAATGTCATGTCAAAGTACATAATCATATATTTATTACAGTGATAAAATCTAGGCATCCCAAAATCACTTCGCTTACTAGTCAAAGACTTGAAGCAGAAAAATCTCTGATGGAAATGTAAGCTACAAATTGGCCAAATCAGCTGCGATAAGTCTGGTCAAAGATTTGCTGACCTAAGTGCTGTACAAAGTTCAGCATATAAAACCACTGAGTCAGCAAGTGACACGAAACTGCTACATACACAAAACTGCTGATTTTCTCACAAGTTTGTTAGAGACAGTGTCGGATAAAACTTCAGATAAACTTTTTAAACATTTTTTAAAGCATCTGATTTTGAAAGTAAAAATGTGATATTGTTAGTTCATCTTTTTAATGGTTGCTCCATTTGTTCTTCAGTGTGATTTTAACCCACACATCATTTAACATTTCCACTCTATCATTAAGAATCAATGACACAGTAGGATACACCAAACCTGAAACACATTTATCTTTCATTAATAATACTCTGACAAAAATAGCTCATGGCTTACTAAATGCTGTTGAGACAAGCATTAGCTATAGCACTGGCAGTGA